GGGGGGGGGCGGTGTCGGCAACGACGGTGTCACTGCTGTCAAATTGTGGTATAGGCCTTGGCTCGCCTGCAGACTTGTTCGTGGTGTTGTAGGGATCGGCGGAGGTTCTTGCTCTTTTTGCACGAACGGGCTGTGGCCGGGGGGTTCCCCCACACACCTCACCCGAGGGAGGGGGGGGGGTTACTGGTTGTCGTGTGCGCCGGGCTAGCGGTTTTCACGAGCTCGCGTCTCCGCGCGCTCGCCGCAGGTCCTCTCGACCTCTCGACCCAGTCCTCTCGACGTAGCGTTTCCTCTTGATGGATGTTGTGGCTTTGTTTCCTGTGCGAACGGAGTGCTAGGAGTCACCGGTCGCCGGTGTGTGGCGCGACTGGCTGTCTGGAGAGCGGGGGCCCGCACCATGCAGTGCTTGTTGTCGTTGTTCTTGCTGTGTGTCGTTGTTGTTGTTGTTGTTGTTGTTGTTGTTGTTGTTGTTGTTGTTGCTGTTGTTATTGTTTTTTGTGTTGGGATGCTCGCCCACGAACGTCTCAGCCGATGCTGCGCAACCCTGTCGTCGTGGGAGCAAAAGTGGGGAGGTTGAGCGGGTGATGAGAACGAAAAGAGGACACTCTTGAAAATGGGTTTTGCTGTAGGCGTCTTGTACTTGTGTTGTGCGGAGTACCGTCGTACGTGCATTTGTTTTTGGCGCTGCTTGCTAGACCCCAGAGATCACAGACACGTTTCTTTCTATGCACGACAGGATGGGACACGCCGGAGGGACTGAGAGGAGGGGGAAGGATTGTCCCGGTTGCCTTCAGTTTTTCTGTGGTGTCGGGGGTGGGCGTTGCGGACGGTGATTGTGGTGGTGGGACTTTTATGAAGACTTTGTTACGTGGTGGTGAGTTGTTTCGCTATTTCTTTAAGTCCTCTCGCCCTCTCTGTCTGTCTGTCTGTCTGTCTGTCTGTCTGTCTGTCTGTCTGTCTGTCTGTCTGTCTGTCTGTCTGTCTCTCTCTCTCTCTCTCTCTCTCTCTCTCTCTCTCTCTCTGCCTGCAAAGGTTGGCAGACTGTGGCGCTGACGGCAGTTTTTTTCTTCGTATTTTGTTTCCTCTCTGATCGCTCACACCAGGGGGGACATTTCGCTGTTTTCTCGCTGTCCCTTCGCACCCCCCTTCCCCCCTCCCATTTGTGTCCCTTTTTCGGGTGTAACCGTTGTTTCCCTTTGGGAGATGTAGAAAAAATATGCATGGTGTTCTTTGTTCCTCTGTGTCTGTCTGCACTCCCATTAGGGGAATGAACGGCTATGAGCGGCCGTGGTTGAAACGGAGAAGGAGAGGATGCCATCATGTATCCGGCGTCATTTTATCGTGCAATCAATCCCTTGCGCCTTGCAAGATATAAACACTTAGTTCGTCATCGTGGTGGACAGCAGGCGTCGAGCAAAAAACTAATGGGGGTCGACGTGTGAGAGGAGGAGGATGGTACGGGTGTGTTGTGTGGGTTCCGTGGGGTACGGGGTTGCTGTCGACAGCTCCAGCCGGAGCCCCAACGAAAACGGTTGACGGGTTGTCCTTTCGAGAGAATTGTTGGCGTTGGGGGGG